GTGACCCACGTCCGGGCGAGGGAACACGATTTCCTTTTATATAATTCATCATAAGAGGTCTTCGGGCTGCTCTTTGTCTGATCCCTCACCTAGGGCCTGTTTGCCATGGGTGACCCTACCAGAGGCATAAAGCCTCAGACAACTTAGCTCCTAAGATCATTGGGACACTCAAACCCCTCCACCACGGTAAGGTGCAGGCAGCCCAGAGAGAGGCATATGTAGGTTATTAATTTTTTAACCTTTTTGCTTTAATTTAATTTAATTTTATTTTATTTAATTAATTTTTTAGATGTTTTAAACACATATTGGAATACATTTTATTTTACTAAGTTCTTTTATTTTTGGCTAGATTTAATAAATTAAATTTTTTTTTTACCTTTTTTACTTTTTGAAAACTTCCAGGTGCATCAAGTAAAGTTTGAAAGTGTGCACAAATAAATGTGCTCCCTTGCTTTATGAAGACTTGCACTATCATGATGTTACAGAGCCGACTTTCTTCAACAACCACCAGAAACCAAAGCTCAGATCATGCATGCTGATAACAATTTCTTTTGCTTTGCTCAGAAATGTATTTGCAGTCAGTGCAAAATGATTTTCCCTTTCAGTGCTCTTAATTTCATTTCACATATATGTCGTTTTAATTTAGCATAGGAGCTGTTAGTGACAGCAGTGCTGCTTTCACACCTCATAGATCCTGATCTCACAGGTGAGCACACATCTGTTCATCTACATTTTAAGCCTTCCAACAAGCTTGTTCTCTGCTGAAAGTTCATTTTGGAGAGTTGATTCATCCTTCAAGATGTTGATTAAGAGTCAGCCAGAAAGACGGCAGCCTCAAGAGCTCCAGCTGTTGTTGAGAAGATGCTTCTAGCAGTTCATTAACAGCAGCACAGATTAGAGCCATCAGTCCCGTCGCAGCGTCAGCTGCTCAGAGGAAACCGAGAATCAGGCCACTGCCGCGAGAGACTAAAAAGGAGAGGCTGTTTGGACATCAGGGGTTGAACAGATGGTGTGTTCACGTGTGATTCCCAGCATGAAGCATCGAGGAGGAGATGTGATTATGGGCTCTTGGTTTGCTTCTGACGCTGCAGGAGGTTCAGTCAAAATACACCTCAGGAACGAAAAACAGGCCCGAGGGGCGTCAGTTTGGTGGATATTTGAGCGAAATGTGCAGTGTGCATTTTAAAAATGTATTATAAAAATTGTTAATGAAATTAATGAATTTCACTAACTTTAATTTTAAGCTGCTGTTTTAACCTCTTTTGATTTGAGTTTTCTGTCAGACTTCAGCGACTTAAAAACTAACATAAGAACGGTTAAAAACAATTAAGAACAGAAAAACTAAAGCAAGTCTCCTTTGTTAATAACAAACACGCTTTTTTCTAAATATACCTTTTTTTTAAATTACCAAACCCAATTCAACACAACGCAGCCGTTTATCTTTGCTTTCTCTCTGAAAACAAACAGAAACTCTGTCACTGATAAATGTGACCTCCATGTTTACAGTCGGTTTAATAAAAATAAATTCTATAAAAGACTCAGGAGACAAATTTATTCATAGAAAATAAAACAGCATTTCTAAAGAAAACAATAGAATCATCACTGTAAAAATGAGCTACGTCAACTGGTTCCACTAAACCTAGTTGCTTAAATGTCAAGAGTAATGTACATTTTAACATAACAACATTTAACAAAGTCAGTTATTTTGTTTGTTTTAATAAGAATTTTTATTTAATAAACTGATATTTTTATTATCGGTTACCAGATGTGTTTTGAAATTTTTAGACATGTTAAAATTCAGATGTGATTTAGTCAAGATTATGAAATCGTCTTTATGTGGTTTGACTCCAAAAGCTATTCACCTATGGACCTGCAGTTTTCATTCAAACTAAAAAAATCTCACATTATGGCACCTTTTGACAATTAGGAGGAATTCTTGAACAATTTCCCTAAAAAGTGTAAATCTATTCTCCTTCAATTCCTTAAATTTCTTCAAAAAGGAGAATTATCAGAAATCTTGGAAGAGAGAGAAATCCGGTTCAGAGCAGCGGCGTCAAGGAGTCGTTTGTCGGACGTCAGCTGAGGTCGTGAATCTGTGCAGCGCTTGAAGTCTTCAACTCGCCTCAACTCAGTGCTGCTATGATCATGGGCTGGGAGGAACTGAAGACTGAAAGCGCCACACAGTGCAGCTTCCCGCTCGCCGGCAGCCTCGTCAAATGGGAAGAGTTTACCCTGCTGACACGACAAGTCGGCCATCAAGCCGAGTCAAACGTCTCGCTAGCTTGAAAGTGACAACCTGAAACCCTGAGAGACAGACTGAGGATGAGTCAGATGAAAAGAGACGGGGGAACATGAAAAGAGGGAGTGGAAAGGTCATCATCACATGCTAACCTAAATCATTAGCATCATCCTCTCCTTTCTTTTCTCTTTCTCGCCTGTAACTAAAATGTTAATTTCAACCTTTTCAGAAGAATTTACTTCAGTAAAAGTTTAATTTAAATGTTTTAACTTGTTTTCAGCCAGTAAAGAAATCCTCTAATGAGAGTTTGAGGTTTACTAAAATGTTGCATTCAGAGAGAACCTCCAGCTGCTTTCTGCTGGGAGTAAGATTCCTTTGTTTTACCCCCCCCCCCCCCCCCCCCCCCCCCCCCCCCCGTCCTCGGAGGACGTGCAGCCTTGAAGTCAGCGGGTGTCGGTTCATGTGTCTTCTGTCTGAAGGTGTAAAGACAGAAATAGCGGTGAGCGCTCGATCCTCTGCTGGGTGTTAATCACAGAAAAAACTTGAATAGCTGGCCTGAGGGTTGATTAATTGGACCCAATCTGTTGCTGAACAAAAATAAAAAGACTACGAGGTCCTTTTTTTATTTCATCGCTTAAAATAAAAGTCCTCTAAGTCTGAGGCCGTGATTTTGACTAGAAGGTAGACTGAAGAATGGACGGATGACAGATCCGGGCTTCATCCGGTGCTGCTCTGCTCTGTTGTGGTGCAGAAGGAGCTGAGTCAAAAGGGAAGGCCCTAAACGTACTGGTCCTTCTACGTCCCAACCCTCACCTACCTATAAGATGTGGATCATGACCAAAACAGCGAGACGTGGAGCAGCCAAACTGAGCTTCTTCTGTAGGATGGCGGAATTGGACCTCATCCATCAGAGTCTCTGCACCTCCTCAGTGAAAGGAGTCAAGAGGTGGCCCCAGCATCTGAAAAGGCTCCTCTCTGGAGGTTTTCCAGGCACATCCCACTGGGAGGAGACCCCCCAGGAAGACCTTTAATGGACGGGCGGGTGACAATTTTGACATTTTAACTCCTAAGGTGTATAGAGAACCCAAACTGAAGCGAATCTTTAAAGAGCAAGTCACCCCCTACCAGACTCTTACTCAACTCCCACTTCCTGTTTGAAAAATGCAACAAATGCTGTTGCCCAGCAGACCGAGAGGGCGGAGTCACTAACAAATACAGACACACACAGGCTCACTAAGACATTGTGACATCATATGGTACCAGCTAATGTTCTAGGGTACCTCTAAAGCCTGATTTATGCTTCTCCGTCTGCGTCAGTGCGGAGCACACGCAACACCATTATCCGTCCTTGCGTAGGGATCCGGCAGGCACGCAAGAACGTACGAAGTCGAGCCCACTTTTTTAAACATCCGTTGAACGAAACGGATTATGCAAGCTTGTGATTGGTCAGGAAGCCGCTGTTGTTTACAGCGCCGCCATTGCAAAGAGAGCTGCGGATAACTAGCGGCAGACACGGAGAAGCTTGAAGAATACCTCGTGAAAAAACTCTAAAAATATGAACGTTTCATCCTCCCGTGACTGGAGGAGTGAAAAGATGCGCAGCAAGCGTTTTATTTGTGGACGGAAATGACAGGAAACGTGGGTTTAGAGGTGGGGAGCGCATGAAGCGATGGGAGAAAGAGAGACAAATATGTCCGTGTTAAAAGTCTCTTATATACACAAAAAACACAATATAAACAAACGATCTTGGACCGATACATGACAGGATACCACAGAACAGCAGTGCAGAGTTTTTACCTGACAACGGCACAATACTGTCAGTTTTAGGCAGAAAATTTAAAATTTTAACTAAAATGCACTAAAGTGCAAAACTATTGACGACACGTGTCTGCAGCACGATTAGACACACATTTATTTAGTTTATCAGAAAAACAAATGTTGATTTGGGGGTGACTTGCTCTTTAAGCTGCAGAGAGTGGAGCACGATGGTCACCATAGCAACCCCACCTTCTAACAATAATTGATAAGGCGTCCTTCCTGAACTACAAGCATTTTCCTTGAGAAATTTTATTTTAGTTTAGTAGACATCCACTGAGCCTTTTAACGAGACTAAATGAAAGTTTTTAGACACAAAGGTGATGAAGTAAAGGTCATTAGTGGATTTATTCTGCTGCTGGCTTGGTGGTGTACATGAGAAGCTGCTCTGTGAGTTTGCTTCACAAAAAACAGCCAGAATAAAAACTTTGATTCTTCAGCTTTAAAGCAAATGCCGTCGTTTCGCTCATCTCCGGCTGCTTTTAAGTCCTGCAGCCCACACACCTCAACTCAAGACAATTTAGCTTGAGTTTTGGTGGGAGGAATAAAATAGCATCACCAAACAGCTGAGAGCATATGGAGGGCAAAGTTACAAGAAAACAGAGCATCAACGGGATGCTCTAGATGGCTGTGCATGAAAACAGCAGCAGAAATCCCTGAATTTGATCAGCACAAATAAATTTTTTTGGTGATTTATGCAAGGAAGGACAAGGATTTGGAGAGAACTTGGTGATATTTATGAAAATAAATGAAATGAAACTGTGATGAATGATAACATTTCATCAGATTTTAAAATGTTGGGCTGGTTTTGTGGAGCAACACGGTGAAGCTGGGATGTCCTGTGGCATTGAACACATCACCTGATAGGCGCTTTGGGTGGTCCTTGATCAGCTTGATGAGACTCAGCTGTGGTGGAGTGAGGAGTTGGCCCCAGACAGGAGGACTGTTTTGATGGCTTTGCTATCATACCACCAGGAATTGTGCTGAAATTTGGGATATCAGTTGATCTTCCTGGTTTGGGAATCTCATCTTTTGAAGAAAAACCTGAACTGAAGCTGTGGTTAAGATCCACGACTGAAGCACCGGTGGATGGAGTTGGGTATCAAGTCAAGCCCGACATTAGGTACGCTTCTATATGATATATAAACCTCATCGGTGTGTGATTAACTTCTGAAGAGGTTCCTGAAAAACCCATTTATTTAAATCAACTGAGAGTCTTAGATGCCCAGAATTACAATTATTAGCAATGCTTTTGTTCTTCATTTGGCAATAAATGGGTTCACGGATTTTATTTTGTAGGATCAAATGTGAAAGGTTTGGGAGCTCCAGATCTAAATCTGTCATTTTAAGAGTTGGTTTTGAGATCTATGTGTGTGTGTGTGTGTGTGTGTGTGTGTGTGTGTGTGTGTGTGTGTGTGTGTGTGTGTGTGTGTGTGTGTGTGTGTGTGTGTGTGTGTGTGTGTGTGTGTGTGTGTGTGTGTGTGTGTGTGTGTGTGTGTGTGTGTGTGTGTGTGTGTGTGTGTGTGTGTGTGTGTGTGTGTGTGTGTGTGTGTGTGTGTGTGTGTGCGTGTGTGTGCGTGCGTGCGTGCGTGCGCGTGCGTGTACACATGTCCTGATTGATGTGCAGGGATCTAATCAATTTTTAAAGTAATTATGTTTGACATATTTAGTCTCAGTGGTAACAGAAGTCAAAAATATCCATCAGAACAAAAATACTAGATTATTTTTAAGTGACTTATCTGCAGAATTTGTGCTCATGGGAGTATGATGGCTTTTATTTTGAAGGTCCAAGTTTGATAAGCACTGCTCTAGTCCCCCCAGGAGAAACTTTAGACACACACACACACACACACACATATATATATATATATATATATATATATATATATATATATATATATATATATATATATATATATATACACCTTTTCTGCTTGTACGGTAACAACATGGCATTTATCACACACCATGACATTGACCTAAAGTGTCTCCTGGGGGGACTAGAGCGGTGCTTATCAAACTTGGACCTTCAAAATAAAAGCCATCATACTCCCATGAGCACAAATTCTGCAGATAAGTCACTTAAAAATAATCTTCTAGTATTTTTGTTCTGATGGATATTTTTGACTTCTGTTACCACTATGTCAAATGTAATTACTTTAAAATTTGATTAGATTCCTGCACCTCAATCAGGGCACGCACGCACGCACACACACACACACACACACACACACGGATCTCAAAACCAACTCTTAAAATGACAGATTTAGATCTGGAGCTCCCAAGCCTTTCACATTTGATCCTACAAAATAAAATCCGTGAACCCATTTATTGCCTAATGAAGAACAAAAGCATTGCTAATAATTGTAATTCTGGGCATCTAAGACTCTCAGTTGATTTAAATAAATGGGTTTTTCGGGAACCTCTTCAGAAGTTAATCACACACCGATGAGGTTTGAAACGAGTGAGTTGAAGCAGAGAAACAACTGAAACAGTGGTTTTTAATTCTTGCCCTCTTGGGCAGATATCCTGCATGTTCTAGATGTTTTTTTGTTTAAGTCATTTGAAGTCATGCTCTTTTATTTGGTTATTTACTTCCTGCAACATCACTCACTAAAGAATCTTGTTCACACGCTACTCAAATCACATGACATAGTTTTCCAACGAGCTTCAATCGCGTCAGAACTAAACGCCTTTGAATGGTTCAAGAAGGAACGAAAGCTAACGAGTCTCACCTGTTTGTTCATGAAGACGTAAATAAAAGGGTTGACGACGGTGGAACATTTGGCCAGCAGCGACGGCGTGATGCTTGCCTCCGGAGTCAGCAGGTCGGGGGGTCCGAAGGTGGCGAGCAGTGCTGCAACTCCATACGGCAGCCAGCAGACCAGGTAACACATCACCATGACGACGACCATCACCAAAACGTGCTGCTCTCGGTGACGGGTCACTACTGAACTCACTCTGCGCACCTGAGAAACAGAAAGAACACAGTCTCTGTAATAACGGTTTCTAACTTTTACAACTTTCCTCTTTTAACTGAAGCAAATTCTCAATCTTAGTTTCATCAGATAAGGAAACGTTAAGGAATCCAGTTGTTCAGACGAGTCGGTAAGCGTCTGTTGTGTGTTTTGTGAAAGGAAACAAGGGCTCCCCGTTATGTGTGGCGGAAAATGAGAGCACAAGGGTAGAAGTACGTTAGTAGCAGCTTCTCAGGGTTCTAGATGGATGGTTATTCCACTACACCATCAGGATTGTGCCATTATAAGCTGCATCCGGATGCATTGCAGATATTGAGCTGATGACATCTCTTGCACTGTCGGCTGACGGTGGAATTTTTACATCTAGGTAGTATTTGGGAATCAGGGCTGCAGAGACGGCATTTCACAGTAGCTAGTCCTGGGTTGCACCATCATTGTTGACGAGCGCCTTTAGCCCACCTGTTTTTCTTTTTCTCCTCCTGCAAGTTTTGTTCCACAGTTTTGTTTCAAAGCCGAACAAACATGTTGAAAATCGAGCATATGAACCTGCAGCGATGTCGATAACTAATTCTTGATGAATCTCAACGCTGTGCTTTAAGCTTGATTTATCTGCTTGTGAAAGGGGTTCTAGAATGGCCCTAGTCAATGCGTTTACATGCAGCCAGTAACCCTTTTAAAACCCGAATATTCACAATAACCCGGTTCCGCAGGTCCTTGTAAACACCGCCAGAAACCCGGATATGCTCATAACCGGGTTTTTAAAAACCCGGATATTACTACACCTGGGGTAACCCTTTTCTAACCCGAATGTTTGGTCGTGTAAACACATACTGGGATATCCCCATCAAAGCGTGTGTTCTGCGCATGCTCTGTTCGCAAGGAATCTTGGTCTTTTGAGTAGCGAGACGTCTTGTATGCGCCAGAACTCCGGAAGTAAACAACAAGTTGGGAGCAACATGGCGAGTCGTGGCACAGCACCACACTTTCGGAGTGACGAGGAAACTAAAGCGCAAACAAACGCGGTCGCTATCTCTTCCGAACTGGGAAAAATTTAGCTGTTTTCACGGATACCGGAACAAGAAGAACCGGAAATGACGCATATTGCGTCTGGACGTAGTCCATACGTTCTGACGCTACCCCAACGTCCGCATTTACATCGGGTTATGCAAGTTAGGGGTAACTATTTCTATTTATGCTTGTAAACGGGTTATTCTGATCAACTCAGAAACCCGAATGCCAACCTTAACCCGATCATAACCCGGATATTGGCTGCATGTAAACGTAGTCAATGTTGAATGCAGGATAGCTGGGGTGTTTAGTGTAATAAACCAAAGAGTGTGCCATCGAGTCTACTTCCTTATGTAAATGAGTAACTTTGTAACAAACACAGAGAAACTGTTTCTTTCTGAGCAAAGCGGTGCTAATCAGAGTTCTAGCCCGCTTATACACACGTCCCCTAATATTTGCACGTCCCAACTTACTTCAGCCTTGGCAAAATATAAACGCTGGTGGCGATAATGCTAACTGCAAAAGCAATGAGCTACTGCTAACATCCTTGTCAGACGAGAGGAGGGACAATCAAGGTTTGAGCACACGTAATGTTCCAGGATGTTCTGGGAGTATCTAGACTTTGAATGAAACCAGATGGATCCATACTTGGCTTATTAGGTTGTCTGGATGCTAGGGATTAGAGGGCTGCATCGGGTTTGGGTCCCGCGGGACCCAACAAAAATCTTACGGGGGCGGGCGGTGTGAATTTTGCTGCGGGCGGGAACGGTCGGCTAAAAGAAACAGTGCGGGATCGGGATGAGTATGATGGAGTCGGCAACTGATGTTGAAAAGAAGCTGAAACAAGGTCTTTATGACACAAAAACCAAAGCAAGGCAAGTCAGACATTTGGAGGAGTTTCTCCGATTGTGTTAATATTTCTCATTCAGGTCTCTCTTAGAAAAGCGACCTTGATCACTGCCTGATTACAGAGGAGAAGAGAATATGAAACGGCCTTGATTTCATTCTTATTTGATTTTTTGAAATCACATGCGCCGAGGCGTCACCGGTGATCCTGGTGACACATCGGCGTTAAAGGGTTAAAAACTAAATGAAAACAAAGTGCGTCAATCCTGACCAATGTGTTAAAAGACGTGCAGGATCCGATCAATTTGTTTTTCCCTCATTTACCGTCACAGAGATAACGGCGCAGTGCTCCTGGCTCTGGTGGTAATCAAGTTAAATTTTATCTCTTTCCAACAATTTTCACAAGAAAACAGAACAGTCAAAAGCAGGGCTTGTGTTGTTTCTACTGGACAGTTCCCGTATTTGACCGTTTATTTTGACGGAGAAAGAGTAGAAAGAATTACCCCGACGCATGCAGACGAACTGACATTTTATTCTACGCAAATCGCAGATGTAGCTAAATCACCCAAGAAAAGATTCCCATCTGAACATCTGAGATGGATACTGCTCAGCGCAGCTCGCTGTCATTGCGTACGTACGGTGCACAGTGAGCTGAAGATGTGGAGAGGGGCTTGGAGCGTGTCGCAGAACCAGAGCGCATGCGGGAAGGTTCCTCCCACTGAAGCGAGTGTTTTCCAAATCCTGTCTCTCGGAGAGACTTGTCACTTAGAAAATGTTCCCTGATTATGAAACTTTGGCTGAATAGTGCTTGTTCCTGTCTCCAATGTGGCGACGCATCCAGGAGCCGTCTGAGGAGAATCCCAGAATCTCACAACCTCTTCAGCTCAGAAAGCGCCTATGATTACGCACAAGCGTGACCCGTCAACCCGGTCTCACAGTAAGACCGGGTTGGAACTGTTCAGGTTTACGCAGACAATCTTTACCTAGAATTGACATACAGATATAAAATTAATTCAGTAACATATAAAGCATTTTATTTAAATATCCATTCATTATTTTACAAGCACAGAGAGCCGCATCAGATGGATGGAAGAGCCGCGGGTTGTGACATGTTTTCTCCAGGACCAGAGAGGACACAAACCCAGTACATCTCTTTTATTGTGAGGTAATAATTTCTCAGAGTTTTGCGGTTGCGGGCGGGAGTAGACATGCACACTGCGGTTGCGGGCGGGAGTAGACATGCACACTGCGGGTGCGGGCGGGAGTGTAACACACACGTTGCGGTTGCGGGCGGTAATGGTCAGAAATTCAGCGGGAGCTGGCAGGAGCGGGATGAAGAAAACAGTCCCGCGCAGGGCTCTACTGGGGATGTTCCAATCACATTTTCTCACCCCCAGTCCGAGTCCCGAGTAATTATTTTTCAGTATCGATGATGCGTCTCAATTTTATCCTTCAGCAATGCATTATGAGTAAAGAACACACCCAAGTTGTCCTTTAAAGAGCAAGTCACTCCAAATCAACATTGTTTTTTGCTGATAAACTATTTAAATGAGTGCTGTAGACAAATGTTGTGCATCTTACTTCAAATTTAGATGTTCTGCCTAAAACTGTCAGTGATGCACCATCGTCAGGGAAAAACTCAGCACTGCATTTGAATTTAAATCTGCCATCGCTTTGGGCTAAGAGGTACACTACGATGTTAGATGGTAGATTATGATGTCACAATGTCGTGCGTGTGTGTATTTGTTAGCGGCTCCGCCCTCCCGGTCTGCTAGGCAACAGCATTTGTTGCATTTTTCAAACAGGAAGTAGGAGTTGAGTAAGAATCTGGTAGGGGGTGACTTGCTCTTTAAGTGTTTTGTTATTACTTATGTGTTTCTTTTTGTTTTTGTCATTTCTTTAGTTCATCTACCAAAGAACATCACTTACGACTTAATATTCATAAAAGCTGTCGTCTCCTTTAAAAATAAACAGCAACAGAGGGAAAGAGAGAGGAGGAGGTTCAGCCTAAAAGCATAAGCATTCTGGTTTGTTTTCAAAGCACTGGCCGACACTGCTTAGCCACATCTCCTCTGAGGTGATTAACTTCAGGGGTCTACAGATGTCTCTTTAAACGACTGCTCACTTCCAAGGTCTTATAGGACTGTGTATTAGTACAGCTGATCAAAATCAATACCATCAAGGTGTCTCTTCACTTGAGCATGAGTTACAAACGGAATAACTGGAGAATGAAAGTCCTGCAGCAACAAAAAGATGAGCTACCAACTGGACCTAATTTGATTAGCCAATTCCAGATTACTAGATTATCCTTCAATCTCATCTACGTTACAGATTAGCTGTTCACAGAATCGGATTTAATTCAGGACATCAAATTAAAACTAAATCCAAATTTCAGATTAACATCGGGTTCATGAATATAAGTAATAATGATCACACACGCTATTGTCCTGTGGCTGTTTTTCTCCTTTCTGCTCCTCTTTACACCTTTTGGAGAATCCATCAGCGCACCTGCCATCACTGTCAGTAACGTCTGCTGAGGGACTTCCCACCACATGATCTGGATCTGCTATCTTCCTGAACTTTTGTCAGATGTTGTCTTTCTATCCTGACTCCTCCATCTCCACTCCCCGATCCCCACAGCATCCATGACAGTTGCACAACAGATGTGGATTCAACTGCGTGGCTGGAAACTGCTCTGAAAGCAGTGATGCATTTATCTTTGCATCGGTCTGGAAGATCTGACTCAGACTGGGATGGAGTGCAGCGTTCCACCCCTGCTGGTAGAAAAACGGAAACTTAATTACACGTGGCCCTGAAATGATTACTTAAGACTCGTCTTAACTGAACTGGAGGCAGGTTTATTTGATCATAGTAGCCGTGTTCCCGATCTGTTCAGTGGTCCAGGATGGAAGCTATTTCAGAAAAGTTTAGTTTTTTAGGGTAATTTTGATGTTCAGTAAGTGCAAATTCTAATTCTAATTCAATTCAAAGATACTTTATTAATCCCAGAGGGAAATAATGTAGTTTTACTGTAAAGCTGCTTTATGTCCTGTTAGACGGGAGTTTTGAATTCAATTCAATTCAAAAATACTTTATTAATCCCAGAGGGAAACTGATTGCTGTAGTAGCTCAGAATAATAATAATAATTGTTGTATATTACAATGGCTGTTGGCAGGAAGGATCTCCAGTAGTGGTCAGTGTTGCAGCCAAACTGAAGAAGCCTCTGACTGAAGACACTCTTCCGTTGTCGGACAGTCTTGTGGAGAGAATGCTCAGGGTCGTCCATCATTTTCTTGATTCTCTGGAGAATCCTTCTTTGCATTAGCTCCTCCAGCGGTTCCGAAACTGCCAAAACTCAGCTGAGTCCTTGAAAGGGCTTGGAGTTCCTCCATCTTGTTGGCCAGTGATCTCACATTGCCCATTATGATCGATGGAAGAGATGGTTTGAATTTCCTCTTTCTCTGTCTCCGTTTTGCTCCCGCTCTGCACGCTTCTTGCGTTTTAGCTCATTTTGGATTTGTGGCTTCAGTTGAGGTATTATTTCAGCCTTTCCAATGTTGATTAGCCGCTCCCGATTGCAAACCAGCTTGTTGCCATGGTTACGCATCATAACAAATGCTCAAAAAGTGAAAAAAGCTAAAAAATAGCAGTAAAAATCCTCCAAGCTTCACAGCACCAGAAACAGAAAAGTAGAGTGTCCAAAACAATACAGTTTTTCTTGAGAAACTAGAAGAAAAAATGCTCAAGAAAAGGCTAAACTTACATATGGTCAGCAGAGTTACTCCAACATGCAGCCACCCAGAGCAGCGCAGTTCCTCTCCACTGTCGCTGCATGCTCGCTAACGGCGATTGCTGTAAAGACTCTGACTCTCTTTATAAAGGAAACTTTTAACTAATTGGCCAAAAGGAACTGAACTCAACTGGAGTGTTTGATTTAAAGTGCCTTGAGTCGAGTCTCTTCAGGTGCTGAACAAGATGCTGGAAACTCATGTAGGTTTCAGCGACCTTAAATAGAGAATGTCCCTGGAGATTTCTGTGAGGTGTATAAGACAAACTGGTTTGTAGAAGTGCAACAACTATAAATACTTGATTCTAATTTGTGAGGATCTGCAGATCTAGATCATTAAACCCCCCAGACACTCCATGTTGGTTTAGACCCCGTTTTAAGCACAAATACACACAGAGGCTTTTAGCCTGCAGAGAAAAGATGACAATGGTTTGAGAGGTCCGTCGTACTGAGTTTTAATGAGGCGACTCAGCGCTGAGTAATGAAGATACTCGTTTATAAATCTGTCAAACATTCCCGTGACTCTTCTACCTGCCTAAAAACTCCAAATGTTTTCTCAGTTTAGCTCAAGTTTCAGCTTCTAACCATCTGAATCTGCCTGTTTGATTTAGATTGCGCAAATGTGCACATTTTTCATCTGTTTTTCTCATGTGATGCAACTAATTAACTCTGGTTCTGCTGGTTTCTTCATGCCCGTATGTGAATTAAGGTGGTTCGGTTAACTGGCCACTGCCAAAGCGGTGGTGATAAATGGTGACATGCAAGCAAAGTCTTCAATGGGCTGATTTTATATGTCTACCCTAACCCTAACCTCCCAGAAGTTTCCCAGAACTCCTAAAGTGGACACACAGCTTAGGATGCCTCCTGGTCCTTGGAGGTTTTCCAGGTGCATCTCCCTGGGATTAGACCCTACAGGTCTAGAACTCGGTGGAAGTATTCCATGTCGTTGTTTTGGGAATGATTAAGAATCCACCAAGAGGAGCAGGAGAGCGGGGCCTTGGCCACCTGACCTTGGATAAGTGGAAGGAGTAGGAGTGTTGATGAAAACTTTAGCACAGGGGTGCCCAATCCTGGTCCTGGAGGGCCGGTGTCCAGCATGTTTTAGTTTTAATTCTGCTTCAACACACCTGATTTCAATCAGCAGGTGATCAATAGGCTTCTGCAGAGCCTGATGAGATGCTGCATAGGTGATTCAACCATTTAATCAAGTGTGTTGGAGAAGAAAAACCACAAAACCTGCTGGATACCGGCCCTCCAGGACCAGGATTGGGCACCCCTGCTTTAGCATCTTCCCTGCATCCTCGCGTTATTGCATAACCAGGCAGCCATGTTTGTTTCTGCATGACTTTTAAATGGAGCAAAGCTTTAGACCAAGACAGAAAGTGATGTTGGCGTATTTGATGGTGACGCTGTGAAGATGTCAAACCCGATTCTCCCATCAGAACATTTCTCAGCTTTCAAGTTGATGTAATGTTTGAACTGCTATTCCCCGCTCTCTCGTCTGTAAAATGTGAACTGGACCAAATCTTTTTGATGCAGCAGTGATGTAGTTAAGGTCACAGATAAGAAAAGTGCACTGCCAGTGTGCATTTCACTCACTTTCAAATGAACTTTTACTTGTCTCAGATCTACTTGGGCGCAGTTTTACTGGATCTTCTTAGACGGCTTAATCGGAAGTACATTTACCACCTGAGTCTGCAGGAGCTCACCTGTCTGATTGCGTGCAACAGTTTGCCGTAGGAGTAGACGATGACGCCAAATGGCAGGACCAGGCAGAAGGTGAAAAGGCTGATAATGTAGGAGATATTGTTTGGCGTCTGAGTCTTCCAGTCCACCGAGCAAGTGGTTCCAGGTCCCTCTGGTCCGTATTTGCTCCAGCCCAGTAACGGAGGCACGGTCCAGGCCACAGAGTAGATCCAGGAGAAGCAGATCCCTCCCAGCGCCGGGCGGAAGTCTCTGCCGTCGGCTGTAGTGGGCTCCAACATGGTGCAGTAGCGTTCGTAGGACAGAACCGCCAAGGAAATCAGGGACACGATACCTGGAGAGGAGCAGGTCACATGGAACTGTCACAAATCCACCCCGCGTTCTGATTTTCATTCTCATTAAGCCATTTTAGGGAAATCAGCCGGATTTTCTCCCAACTGGAGCATCTGTTTGATGATTGAGCAGCATTTAGACACAAAGTGAAGCCAATTTCCCACTCGCTTTGATTATCTTTTAATTTAGTGACATTTACCGTGAAAAGGCGTCTCAACTTAATGTGAGCGTGACTGATTTCCAGAGCTGGAATTTAGGAGTTACGTCCAACTACTACAGATGTAAAGCATCTCCTCCTCTCTACCCAACACCTTCTGCCACAGAACCTTTTTGTTTTTATGCTTTTAACCATTACGTGTGTTCAAGGTTTAGGAGATTATCTGTGTTCAAACCACAAACCTGATGGAGGCCTTGACTGTAAGGGAAGCCATTTTCTTCAGAAAGATAACGGACTGAACACATTCAGAAGAGGGAAGTGACCTCAGAGCTAATCATCTCATGAAGTGCTGATTCAGAGGAACTTTAACTTTAATCGGATGGGTCTCCCAGCAACAAAGACTTTAATTGCAATCATGGCACCTGTGTGCAAAACGGTGCCCTCTGATTGGATAAAACTATTAACTGGATGTACTGGCTGGATAATGCATGAGATGAAAAGGAAGCTCCTTTATGTGTCTACAGGTGGCTGCCTAATTAATTACCAGAGGAGATGAGGAAAACCAAGGTCTTACATCCTTGTCTGATAATCCTGATAATCTGACTAAAGGATTCTATGATATTAAAGAGATAAAAAGCTGGAAATGCTTTGTTTAGGTTAAAGTTGTTGGCAGTAATTCATTTTAGTTGCTCATGTATGGCACTCTGAAGAAACCTGAGTAGCTTTTATATTAAATTTTACAACCAGGAAAAATGGGATTCAGCCATTTTCTTGACTAAACGGTCTTGAACATAATTTCAGTACGCATATAAACCGAACCCTAACCCCAAAGCTGCAAAGGCAGATCGGCATAGCTTATAAACATTTGTCATGCCTCTTAACAACATTAAAGAGCAAGTCACCCCCAAATAAACTTTTTATTGCTGATAAACTAAATAAACGAGCGTCTAATTGTGCTGCAGACACGTGTCGTCAATAATTTGGCACGTCAGTGCATCTTAGTTAAAATTTAAATATTCTGCCTAAAACTGGCAGTGTTGTGCCGTTGTCTGGTAAAAACTCTGCACTGTATTTGAATTTAAATCTGCCACCGCTGTTGGCTAAGAAGTATGCTATGATGTAAACTGGTACATTATGATGTCACAATGCTGTTGTGAGCCTGAGTGTGTGTGTATTTGTTAGCAGCTCCGCCCTCTCGGTCTGCCAGGCAACAGCATTTGTTGCATTTTTCAAACATGAAGTGGGAGTGGAGTTAAGACTCTGGTAGGGGTTGATTTGCTCTTTAACTGTGGAATAGCTAAAGATGTTTTGTGGAGATTAAAAATGGACACTTCAACTTTCAGACAAATTATCAGAGTCCCAAAAGGAAAAATGCTGTTTGAAGTCTAGGAAAACAAATATTTGGGCCTAGAAAACTGTGACTGGTGTTTAGCGCGCTCTCGTTTATTGTGGCAATGCGTGTTCCCATTTCAGGGGGGCGTGGCCTACGATGATGGTGGATGGGAGGGGTGAGGGTGCTGTGGCATTGTTTATGCTCAAAAACAAGCTTGTTTTGCAAATTCTCCTTTGCAGCTTTAATTTGTATTGGTGTGTGTTTTTAGTATTTAACTAAAATTTGCATTAACCTGTTTATTGGTAACTTTGACAAATTGACAGATTTCTCCAAAACCACCAAACTGATGTTAAAGCAGATGTTTAGCACATGAATACATGTTAAGGCATCAAATGCTGTTGTAAATTATTTTTATAACAATTTTAATGATTTCTGATTATGATCAGTCACTCCGAGTTTTCCATGCAGGCTGAACATGAAGATAGTCTCCTACACCTATCTCTTGCTTTAGCTTCTGATAGAAAACAGAAGGTGAAACTCTAGGATTAGAAAATCCTGACGGATCTACGTCATGGACTCACCCATCTTGACTCATGACGGGGAAGGCTGTTGTTGGTTTAGCATCCGGAAACCGCAGAGAACGTCTCAGCTAGTAGAAGCTAACGTTAGCATTAGCAATTCGACCACGTGGCAGAACTCCTCCAGGCTTGTGTTAAGTAAACAGATTCAGTGGTAGTCGCATTGCTGTTAGCCTTTCAGAGGTGAGATGTTCAAATATCAGGAAGTTAGACTCCAAAGCCTGTCGTCTCAAGCGGTCCTCTGATCTGGCAGCTTTCTAGATCCTGAAACAGGTGAACCAGGGCTTTTTGTACCCGGAGTACGACGTACAAGGCATTCATTCCTACTAGACTGCAAATGTATTGATAAACAAGTGAACCACACCTTTAGGTGCATATAAAATAAAAGTGCATTTAAATGTTCACAGAGCACCTTATACCAGATATTAGTGCTCATATTGTTTCCACAGAATCCAGATTCATGAGATCTTGGCTGCATTTCTGACCCAATTAAACTAAATCTAAATATTTCCTTTCGCTGCAGGATTTTGGTAAAATCTCACCACCATACCTAAGTCTTCTTATCATATTTCACACAAAAAAGCTTAACATGATCGTTTTTACAGATTTGATCTTTATGCAACTTTTTATCTTGTATAGAATATTCCTAAATAATTGGGATTAGACGCCGCGTTTTGCCGTCACATCATTTTAGCCATAAGAGTAAAGTTCGACTATTTCGAAACGAATTTGGGACAAAATGGCTCTGAAGGCTGTTTAACCACAAGTTGTTTGAAGGAATTTAAACTTTATTCTCTGTAGAAAGTTTCCAGAACTTTTGTAAAGATAAACTCTATTATGATGCAAGACTCAACCTTACAAGGACAGGAGAACAGAAGACATGACAGCACATTTCTTTTGTAATTACGGCTAGATAAATAATAAAAATGACCTTCCCTCCCCGTGGAAACCGGCTCGCTATATTTAAATGGACTGCTTGCTCAGCAGTGACCAGTTTCCCATTAATTTCCTGCAACAATTGCACAGTTTGAACTCGGAGCCTGGAGGGAATATCAGTCCCAGACGCTGGCTTTGAATCAAACATGGCCCACTTTGATTCTGTAGCTCGCATTTTAATGGGTTTTTACCCGAGGCCCGGCTCTTCCTCAACCTGTTCCTGAAAGGTGTGGATCCGATTTAAGGTAACGGGAATGGCCCAAAGAGTCGGCACCAGAACTAATCATCTTTCCTTGACTCTGGCTCTCATTTGTCTTTTTCTGCTTCCTTTTCGTTGTTTTTGATCCTGATGGTAAAACATCAGCTCAGACGAATTCTCCTCTTAGACAAATGTTTATTATTGATTCGGTGTCATAAATGATCGAGTTTGCTTGTCTGACAAGTATTCTAAAGATTATTTGAAGAAGACATTTATTTTTTTTAAAGTGGTCAGAAGTAAGTTTAGTCTCTGATCTGCAGAGAAATGTTTCTTGGCATATTTATAACTTGTATTTAAAAAAAACATGAACAAAATCAGCAAACTGCTACCTAAATGGAGTTTATGTCATTCCTTTAGTAAAATTGTAAACATTTACTATTTATTCAAATTTCAACTAACAATGAAGCATAAAGGAAAACTTTAATAATAATCTTTTCTTTTCACAAGTGAATTAAATTTTTTCTCACTTATGTTGGTGCGCAGCTGAGCTACAGACGGCAGGTTTAGGAGTCCTACTTCCTGATATTTGGACATCTCATCCTGGATTGGACAACAGCAATGCGACTCTACCACTGACTTGAAACGTTGACGTTTTATCTCCATAAATAACTCAAGTCTGGAGGAGCTTTCTCCGTGTGGTGCTGTTGCTAATGCTAATGGTTAGCTTAAACTAGCAAAGATGTTCTTTGCTGATTCCCGGACGCTAAACCAACAACAGTAAAGACCAGCGAGAACACAAAAGTAATTCACAGATGGACGTAGATCTGTCAAAGTTTTCTAATCCTAGAGTTTCACCGTGTATTTTCAATCAGAAGCTATAGCAGGAGATAAGTGTAGGAGACTATTTTCATGTTCAGCCTGCATGAAACACTTAGTGACCGATTTCTAATCAGAAGAAAAAGCATCTAAAAATGTTTTTCAGTGTTCCACACCTCTGTGCTTGACATATAATCAAAAAAGTCACTGAAAGCTTCGCTTGTGACACTCTTTAAGCTGAAGTCTTTGTGATAAAAAAGGCAACAAATATTCAGCCAATCAGCTGCCAGGTCTTTCTTCAAACGTCTCTTTTTATTGAAAATGCTAGCAGAGGTGATTTCCAGTGATCAAAACCACAAACCATTTGGAGTCTACTTGATTCAAGATGGCTGTCATGGCTAGCTGATATTAGCAAACACCAAGAGAGCTAAAGTCTGACAAAAAGCTATACCTCCATCAACTCCGGCACAGGCTGTGGATGATGCTCTAAAGAGTCTAGACCTTTTCTTTATTTAGCTGCTGCTAGACGATGCAGTGATGTACAGATGTCCCTCCTGTGTTGTCTGAGCTAATTAAACAGGAGAGGACAATGTCCCATTTAACAAACAAGCTAAACTTCATCTCAGGATGAAACAATGTCCCCGTTTCCTCTTTAACCTATCAAACCTGTCCCACGTTAAGCATTCACTTTTTCTTTGCTCCACAAATTAGGTTCACGCGTCGCGTTTTGATTGGTGCTCAACTCCACCAGCAAGAGGTTTACAAATGTTGCATTTAATACAATAACAGTTATAGAAAGCGATGTGTCATCCTCCAGGATGTGATGAGTGTCAAATAAAACTGAAGAGGCTTTAGGCATCATTTAGCTCCGCCCACAGAGTTCACAGTTTATTTTGTACAATTATGTGCCTCTAGGGTGGGTTTCTGGTTTTGTGCCTATTGTGGGGAGCATTGGGGTACTTGCCCTTTAAACTTACAGTAC